TTTTTCTTTGAGACAGCCCTGTCTGGTTTGCCCGGGACCATGGTTGGTGGGTGCTCCCTCTGTTCTTGTCTCAACCCTCAGTCCCTTTGTTGTTTTTTTTTCCCTCTCCTCTCTACTTTACTGGAGAAGGAGAGACTGTGTGAGTTTTAGTTGCTGGATCAGCCTAAAACCACGACATTGGGTAAACTCAAAAACAGCTTAGTAGTAAACTTTGGAACAGAATCCTCATCCTCTTTGTCTGTTGGTTCTGACCAGTTTATACTTTTTCCCATTTTACTGAACGTTTGCAAGCAGACAGTGAGAGAAACTTTTATTAAGTCTTCAGACTTACTGAACAGATTTAGGGACACAATTCTGACGTGCTACTCTTTCAGGACATGACCATTGCCACAGTAAGTCTGAATGCGAACAGAAAAGAGTTTAAATATAATCTTAAGAATTCTCCCACCTCTCCTTCTTCACAAGAAATAATTGTGTGAGATCAGCAAAAAGGGATACTTGCTATGTTCTACTCTCCCTTACTCATTTAAGTTGATTGGATGGAACAGACTAGTTTTGCAAACTGAAGTAACTCATTGTTTGTATTCAGGCACTCAGACATCATTATAGTTATAGGAGCTACAAAGCAAGACAAAGAGTTTTTTGATTTGAGGAAATATATTTTTAAATATGGAAATTCATGGTCTAAATGTCAATACAACACAGATTTAATAGTTTTTAAGGCTGGGATACTAGCTTCTAGTTATAGAGAAATAAATATTAAATGAAAAATAAAATGCACACTCCAGAATGAAAGCAAACTAAAGAAAAATTATTTCAAATTATTTTTTTAGATTCTTTTCCTTCACCTATTATCATGACTACGTAAAAATATGAAGCATCTGGCCACAATGAATTTTAATAAGAAGAAGTAACTTCTGCAATTATCATCTGTGTGTGATCATAACAATCTGTTGGAGTCCTTATGTCTCGTTATACATTAAAGAAAAGCACCTGTACGTTTTCCATTCTTGATCACTTTCAGGAAGACACGAAACATATCCTGGACGATACTGGCTTGTATCTTGTGGAGGTACAGCATGATCATTCAGTTCAGTTCCCTGCAATCTTAATAAATGAACCGTTGCCTGCAAAGACACGGAGAAGTAAGTTTTCTCCCCAGGTTATCATTGTGAAAATAGACTGTGACTTAGTATCAGTGTTGTCCATAATCTTTCAATTGTCTACAGCTAATTTTACTAAATAATTTCATGAAGAAAATAAAAAAATACATTTTTTATATTTTTTTTTCTCCCAATCATTCTGGAACTTTCAGGATCCAGAAATATAACGTCACAATTACAATAGAATCCCTTGTAAAAGAGTGTTATCACCACCTGCAGTGAAACTATTGCTACAGTTACCTTCACAAAAGTATTTTGATAAAAATGCTTCATGAAACTACTTTTTCCTTCAGTTCCTGTGATATAGACAACTAAACTCGAAATTCCAGTGCTTTAAGATTTATATATAATTTTACATAAAACAAAGCTAAAAGAAACAAATATGAGTCACAGCTCTGTAATTTATTTACCTCTGCATTAATGAATCTTATTTCTGCTAGTATTCTGAGTAAATCTCTTTCAAAAGAGAAGGATTTAGCAGGTAGCAACAATTCTCCTAGTAAGCTGTCACCTTGATCATCATCCATTGTAACTGTACTCGCTTTCTTCTTCTGTGCTAAAAATCAATCAATCAATCAATCAATCAATCCATCATTGTTATCATGGAAACCAGAAAAAAACCCTTCATTTAAAAATTTAAAAATCCCTACACCTTCTCAAATCCACAAGAAAGAGTTAAGAAGCACAGATTTAAAATCGTTTCACTCTTTTTTTTTTCATCAGTACAATTTATTGCACCCAAAACTCATTCTTCTTAAGCACTGCTGAGGTATTGGTTACCTGTGATTTTGCTGCATTTGTGCATAAACTTCAATATTTGCAGCAAATAACTTGCTCCAGTCATAACGTGCACACTGAAACAACGTTAATATGAATATAACCCATGGCATCTAGTTCGATTTTATTGCTTCAATGGAAGTGGAGTGCTGGACATTATGTAGTGTCTATCCATGGACTGATAGTCTTTTTTTCTCAGTTTCCTCAGGTAATTAAGCATGACAGAGATGGATAATGTGTACCTAGATGACCATTAAGAAATGAACCTATTTTCCTAGATAGATAGATAGATACATTTCATATAAGTACTTTTCTTTAGCACTGGTGAAATACTTTGGAAGGGAAAGTATGGTTTCAACAGAAAAATGTATAGGCTGATTTCTAGATACGGAAGTAGAAAGAATATTCCACATATGCCAACACACAGAGCCTCAGGGAACTCTGGAAACGGGAGGGAAGAAAATAATGATACTGGTTGACTCCTTCAAGTAACTCTAATAAATGAGGGAAAAGCTCCTCTTACAAAATTCAAAATAACTTATTCACTTACTTTTTTTAGGTTTTGTTACCTTCCTAAACAAAGTGTCATCATACCAGAGACAAAATCTGCATGCTGCACGGCACACATCCCATACTTCTTGTTTACGTGCAACTTTTGCCAAATCTGCCCAAACTATAATTCTACCAAAGAAAAAGCATACATAAAATTACTTCCTAAGCAAGATTATCTTCCACACTTCAGGATCAACAAAAAAAATCATGTCAATAACAATGGTCATCATAAATAAAATTTTAATTCTAATTAAAATTAATAAATGGAAGACTTCTTACAAGTAGCAAAGATAACATTATTAATTTATTAATTCATTAAAAAAATAAACCCTCAGCATATCAAGAGCAGGACAAAATTCTTGTTCTTGAAAGTAACGATACTGAAATTTTAAAATTTGTGTGGCATCCATAATTATATATCTTATAAACTAAACTAAATTAATGATTTCAAAACTGATATTGATAATTTCAAATAAGCCTTGAAAACAAGTTTGGATTTAGAATTTTTTAGAAAACAATTTAGTTTAAACCTCATCACTGGAATTTTTAGCGCAGCAAAAAAAGGATACCTCTCCTTTTAAATAAAGAATGATAAAATGACATACAAATAGTCAAAACAAAACCTGTGATTTTCCTACAGATTAATTTTTCTGAGTCTCAGAATGGACTATTTCACTTCTTTATCAAAAAAGTTGTAGCATGTAGGTTCAAGGACCTAAAAAGAGACTTCAGCAAAGTTTCAGTTGTACATCAAGTTATTCAGTATTCCAGCCTCAATCCCCTCATTCTTCTGCATGTTCAGCTCATACCAACAGAACAGGGGAGGTTAAGTGTGCATCTGAGAGAGTGGCTTAGAAACAGCAAAAGAACACAACTATGCACAGCACGTGAACTAACAGAACTTTTCAGCCATAAAGTTAATCACACACTGAATACTCCGCCAGGTCTGACTGAAGCATTCAGCCTCTTACAACGTGTCATCAAGTAACTTAACAGCTGCCACAAGAAACTGTCCCGTTAGAGGTTTCTACACAAGACAAAAGAGACGTTTCTTGTCTATAGTAATTACCTCTCTCTGTCATTTTCATATCTTAAGTGCTTCAAATGTTCATCAACTTTCTCCATGCTTTTAATATGATGTTGTGCTTTTGCACAGAGGTAGCTTCTTTGACTCCTACTTTCACCTGAGAAAACTTAGCAAAGAAAAAAGAATTTAGGGTAATTTTAAGCATTAGAGATTAAAAAATCCACATAAAGGGTATGAAATTTGATTCATAACTACTTTCTGAAACACTTGAAATCCAGCCCATGTTTCAGTCCTTCAAGCTTTCCCAAAACCAACCAACCAACCAACATTAAAAAAACACACCCCACCAAGCATCTCTTCTGTTTTTCCTGTATTTTCAGACATAGAATCATAGAATTATAGAATGGTTTGGGTTGGAAGGGACCTCAAAGTTCATCTCATTCCAACCCCCCTGCCATGGGCAGGGACACCCTCCACTACACCAGGTTGCCCAAAGCCCCATCCAACCTGGCCTGGAACACTTCCAGGGATGGGGCAGCCACAGCTTCTCTGGGCAACCTGTGCCAGTGCCTCACCACCCTCAGAGGGAAAAAATTTCTTCCTTAGATCTAATCTAAATCTACTTTTTTTCAGTTTAAAGCCATTGCCCTGTGTCCCATCACTACATGCCCTTGAAAAGCCCCAAAATGTCTCAAGTACACCTCTTTTCTCACAGGACATGCAGTACTCTAATTAGCCTCAGTTAAGACTAAATGGATGAAGTAATATGTAAAGTTCACATTCATGCTGAATTTTAAGAACACCTATCTAATCAAACACATTTTCAATCAATATTGAAGTTTGTTATTTTGTTTTAATTTGAGAATACTGACTTTTGTTTTTCTTAGTCAATAAGATACTGGGCAAAAATATCAAAGAAAGAAATAACACAAAAAAATGATGCAATGGAGAAACAAGCTTCTGAAAATACCACTTAAAACTGACCTTAGGTAAGAACATTGAGTTGCACATAGTAATAACAAAATTACAGCACAATTTACAGCACACTACAGCACAACAATACAATTCAGACTAATTCAGAGGGGAAAACAATAACATTTCCTCTTCCAGAATCACAATATAAATCTTAGATCCCTGATGAAATTGATAGGAGATTTGCCATAGAATTCAGCAGAACTGTCACTTCACCTGTACTGCAATATTTTCTACATGTTGCCATCAGATGTTACGTCTAACCTTTAAGACTGTGCAAAGCAGCCAAAGTCAAGCGTAGTAATTTCTACTCACACCCATGTACATTACCTTTAGCTTCATTTTCACTGTCAAGGACTATTCGAAATGAATCAGGAGCTAGTGCAAGACCTGCATTTACCAGAAGGGACCTCTTTTTCCTCACATTATCCTTAGGCCTTCCTCTTTTAGCCTACGAAAAGAAAATTACTAATTGTTGTAAGGTTCATTTTTATTATATTCCTATTTATATATCTTATTTACTAAACATAACAGAATGCAGGTCATAGAACTTGCTACTAGCAAAAAAATATCTATAGGAATTGTGTATCTCCATACATCTTACACATTCTGCGGATTTATTGCTGTTGAAAGTGACTGTAGAACTCTGGTTGATTTTGACATGAATACATAAAAGATAACTGAATATAAAGTATTGTTCGTGCTCCTTGTGGATCTTCACAGTATATTCCTTACTGCAAAACTCGTCATTATGTTATATTTTCTTAAATAAAGAACAGTATTTATTTAGAAATCAACAATAACATATCCGTTGTGCAATAACTAGGAATTGCTACAAAATACAAAAAACTCGTAGCCAAAGTCAGAAGAGGTATACTTTTGTAAAATAATCATAGAATCATAGAATCATAGAATGGTTAGGGCTGGAAGGGACCTTCAAAGGTCATCTAGTCCAACCCCCCTGCAAGGAACAGGGATATCTCCAACTAGATCAGGTTGCTCAGGGCCTCGTCCAACCTGGCCTTGAATGTCTCCAGGGATGGAGCATCCACCACCTCTCTGGGCAACCTGTTCCAGTGTTCTACCACTCTCATGGTAAAAAATTTTTTCCTAATATCCAATCTGAATCTACCTCCCTCTATTTTAAAACCATTACCCCTTGTCCTATCACAACAGGCTCTCCTGAACAGCTTCTCCCCATCTTTCTTAAAAAAGAATAAAACAATAAAACTAGACAAAAAATCTTCACTTTTCTTTGTCTTAACAATAGATATATTGACTCACCAGCAGCTTTTCACTATTGGTTTTAGGTTCAGTGAATACATCTTGCTTTCTGTGAATATCCTAAAATGGTGTATAACTGAAATTTCTTTTAGCCAACTAACAGTCAGATGCCAACGTGACTTTTTTTCAGGTGCTGAGGCACCAGAACAGAATTTGATGCAATAACTCTTGACAATGACCACACTATGACTTTAGACTGTATTTTTTAGTGTCACTTGTAAGTGTGACATAATATGATTTATCTCAAAGCCAGCTAGGATGTTGAGCTATTTGGCCACCGGTTCTCTCATTAGTTAACACACTGTTCCATGCAATGGAATCGTAACTGTTGACAATTATGAATAGGCTTCTTTTTTTATTATATTTTGCTAATTAATAACTTCCTCTCCCTCCCAATAAATTAGCTTTGAACATAACAGGAAAAAATATCTATCGCAGTCTTCAGAGTGTGAAGCAGCATGACCACCACAGAGAGAACAGAGAGAGCTTCTCAAGGCACCCAGCCAACGTCAATTTGCTGAAAGCGAGCTGATGCTGGCTCTACGAATATGCAGTTCTACTAAACAGCTGGCTTTCCTCTGCCAGAGTTTAATAAGTAATCCTATTTCAGCCACTGACCTTATTCTTGGACATTACCTGTTCAATCATCATTACTGCCCGATCCTCTAGACGCTCAGGTGACTTATACAGCATTGTGCATAAATGAAGACGGTTAAAAGCCAATCTTAGATGTTCTTGATACTGCCCACTGTTGTTTAGATTTATAGCTTTTTGCAAATGTTCCACAGCAGCCTCTATTCTATCCTCATCATCTTCAATACGAGCTATTTCCATATGAACTTGGCAGCGCAACAAAATCAACGTGCTAAGGAATACAAATTGAAATGTAAACTGTTAAAATGAGGCAAACTAAAATTCTTAGAACTAAAAATTACCTAGAAGTGAAACTCCATAATTAAAAGTGACTCCAGTATGAAAACAGATATTCCCTTTTCAACTTATTTGTCTCTCTGATTTTCACTATCGTGCCTTTTTAACAAAGTGACTTAGAAAATGTAACTGCATTTTACTTCCTTTAACCCTGTACGAGAAAACACAGCCATGAGGAAGCAACACATCTTGTAGACTAACCGATCCCCATGTATTAGCAGAACTCTTCTGCAGCGCCGCACTAAAGTTACCGCTTTGGTATGCACACCAAGTGAATTTCAAAAGTATTTATTAACTCCTAGAGAGAGCACCATGTACTGGATAATGGCCACTTTTCAGAAAGTTCACTCTCCGTAACATTTAAGTAGAAGCTAATACTTCTGAAATTTAGCCCTGATTGTAGAGCTCACCACTAAGGATCCGGCTCACCACAGGCACACACGCTCAGTGCAGGTAATGTCTTTGCCCAGATGTTACTGAAACCTCTCTGCAAAGTTAGCATGTTTCCAGTGAAGACTGCATGTTCTCCAGTCTCAGGTACACTCTGCTCCCTATCCCTCACCTGCCCCAGGAAGTTGTTCATGACAGCTGTGAGCTCTATATGCTACTTTAGAATATTTCCAGGAAGAAAACCAAAAAATCAGATAAATGAAAGTAATGCTATGAAAAATAGAACAGAAGGAAGGTTTTCAAGGCTATCAAATGTCATTCCAAAGAACTAATGTACATTCACATAAGAGCTAACCTGACTGAGCAATACCACCCTTTCACTGCTGACCAAACTAGTTACAATTAATGCTACACTCAAACAAAAATGAAGACAGGCAAATTAAGAGGGATGAGTGACCATCCAGTCTCTAGTGACAGTACTACCTCAGAGCTGAGATTGACTCTACTGGATTGTTAGGAATATGCACATAATAAAATGCAAAACCCTAACCCCCCAAAAACATAACCTGCAACCTTTTAGAGAAAAATCGTCATTACTGACATTTAGTATAAATATCGAAGTGCTGATACTGCACTCTTTATATGGAAAGTACAAGAAATGCTTGAAAGACAGTACAGAATACAATATAGTGGTTTTATACACATGTATATCTGCTTCCTCAGGCTTCTGTATCCTTTTTATGCAACCAAAAAAAATACTTTTTTAAACACTGAAAATATATTCCTCATCTTCTGCTGTAATACTTTTATCATAAACCACCTCCTGTTCTGCTCAAACAACAGACTATGTTTGTTGTAACTAGCTCTACTACAAAACTTATGATCGTTGGTCTTAGTAGTCAGCCCAGGTATAGGTCCAAACTCAACGACCACATACTAAGGTTTACTTGTTCCACTCAAATTATGAAAAAGGTGAAGCCATTCAGGTGCTTACGGTTAAGTACAGCGTAACAGCAAAAAGAAAAACACATCTAAAAGAATTATACATTTTCTTAATACAGTAGGTTTTTCAATTAAAAAGAAGTATCATGAAAGATACAAAAATAGTATCTTGCAAGAAGTCTTATCTGAAATGTAATACAAGAAGTCATGGTTTTTAAAAGTAATTTTGTAATTGTATTTTTTAACAAACAAAAGTGATGTTAATACAAGAATCCAAACCACATTTCAACACATTTATTCATCCGGTACCTTTGGAATTTTCGCACATAATTTTGATTAAATATAGTATTTTTCAGTTCCTAAAAAATTTCAATAGAATAAATCAAAATCTCAACAGTGTGAGATTTTGCCTGAAAGGAACCTATATTTAAATTATTAATGAGGAAATGTACACGATACATAGACGTTAATTTATTACAAGCTAGTCCAAAGACACTTAATTTTATAGACCTTGAGCTTTTAAATGAGTTTGATGCTTAGTCACTAGACCTTTCAAAGTAACAAACGAAAAAGCACACAGCATAGAAAGTTACCTGTCAATCTCCTCAAGGACGCCAGCAACTGACACCAACGCCTTCCGCACACGTTGATGCAAACCGTGCTGTAGTAGTGGCAAGCACAGATTCCACTGGGTTGTACAAACAACCTGAATCACACCGGGATCGCCCAACTGAACTGCACGTTTTAGGGTTAACTCAAGATTTTTTATCAAGTTCAGCTGAGCCTACACAAATGAAAAATTATTTAGCATATATTGCATTTCATGAATACAACTTCTTTCATGTTCTTCCAAATTTTAACCTTAGGGCTATTTCCAACAGAAAGCAGTCCCTCAGCCAGCAGACTTTGGAAACTGTTTTTTAATTATGTTTTTTTTAAACATTATTTCTTTAATAAAAACTTTTTTTTTTTTTTAAATAGGCATTGATAACTAAGGAATATTTCTTTTATGTAATCCATGCCGCTACTACATATTTCAGGCAGAGGTCTGTCAGCTATTTCCCTTTCTTATGATAAACAGAAATTGATAACTGTGAAATAGGTGCAAATTCAGAAGGCTTAGCTTTTTTTTGGTTTTTAATACTAAGCTACAAATGCAGTGTAGGAAACGAAAAAAGAAATATTATGAAAGGGATTTGCCATGCTGTCAATTAAACATTGTTTGTATTGAATCTAAAAGCAAATCCTTACCTACAGTAGCAGACACTTGCTAATTATTAAGTTCTTTTTAGAGGTTACGCAATTAAAAAATAAACAAACGAACAAACCCTCTCTAACTGCAACCACTGTGGTAGGAATACTTAGAAATATCTAAATATCTAAAATCCTATTCGTTATTGAAGCAGTATTAATAGTGTTTCATATAATGAAAAATTCATGAAATTTTTTTTTAAAAAGGTGAATGGAATTTCTGAACACCAAAATGAGAACAGTCATAGACAGGAGTAAGTTTATGCACTATGGATTTCCATGAAGTACATTCATACTTTTAACTTTAGATGCCTCTGAATAACTTTTCTAATAGTTCACTGTAGGCAGCTATCTAATCTTGTTGATAATATTGACAATTTAGGCTTCTACTTTTGATGGTCTGAATTATAACTGAGTCAATCGACTACATCTAAGAAAATCCACCCCAGTGTGACAATTTATCAGGAATAATCTGCATTTCTGACATAAGAATCTCTACGAGACTGTGTATAACATGCAATAATAGTCGAGTTGGACTTGATGATCCTTATGAGTCCCCTCCAACATGAGACATTCTATGAAAACACCTCCCATAAATGTAAAATACCCCAACAAAAGTGTGTTGCCTTGGTATGCCTCAGTGTCACCATCTTTACTCTTGGAAAGTAATATATTATGAACTTTTACAGTCAGACAGAAGACTTAAGGGAGGAATGTACAACTGTTGTTTATTTTTCCCTGTTTTCCTCTTGGCAGCCCAATTAGAAAGAATATAAAGCTTAAAAGAATTTCTCATCAATATAATGTAAGTAGGACTGACAGGTCCAATGCACTTCTTTCACATGTAACAAATTAAAACTTTCACTTTTCTCTCAAAGTTAATGTTAAAGAACATACCTCAATGACTCCTTTGGTATAAGTCACAATTTTAGTGCCCATTTTTTTTACTTCATATTCACATTCCAGGCATTCTATTTCAATAAGTTTCCCTTGCTCCTATGAAGTATTAATATAGGACATGTTGATTTTAATCATCAAAAAGGAACACAACGCAGGTTAAACCCATGCAATTACACTAATACAGCACTAATTAACTGAAACAATAAAAAGGGAATAGAATTTGTTGTTTGAACAGCAGTCACTTCTTACTAAGCTGCAGCTGCAAAATAACTTTACCGGGATTTTTAAAGTTGTTCATTGCCAGATTGTGCAATAAGAAAACCAGTGTACACTTGATTTTTCCTACACTATAATTTGATTTCCGTGGAGATGTGCAATCAGTTGGGGGGGGGCACAGCTGGGACAGCTGACCTCAACCCATCAAAGGGATATTTCAGACCGTATGACATCACAGAGCAATAAAACTGGTGGGGGGAAGGCTCGCGGGGGGGCCACTGCTTGAGGGCTGGCGTGGCATTGGCGGGCTGGTGGTGAGCAACTGTTTTCATTTGCATCACTTAACCTTTTATTGGGTTTTATTTTTCTCTCTGTTATTTTTTCTCCTCTTTTTGTTATTATCATTACTATTATTAAACTGGGTTTATCTCAACCCACAAGTGTTCTCAATTTTACCCTTCTGATTCTCTCCCTCATCCCACCGAGGGGAGTGAGTGAGCAGCTGTGTGGTGCTTTGTTGTCGGCTGGGGTTAAACCACAACAGTGAGGAAGGAACAGAAAACAAATATCAGAGCCAGATGGACCTAAGGATCAAAAAGGGCATACACATTGAAAGACTGGGGAGATCACACACAATTTTAATCTAAGAATATCCCTACAGTAACATTGTAATAAGAATATTACAGAAGAGTAAAAATTATTAAATGTTAGTAAATAACAAATCAAATAATAGTTTGTTGGAAAATGATTCATTCCTACTAAAGGAAACTGGGAAATGTATAGGAACAATCACTATCAGAAAAGATCCACACAAAGGAAAGCAACAGGGAGTGCAGTCTGTGGCACAATGACTCCAGATTTCTTGCTCCAATGACAGAAATATACTGCTTAAGTCCTACTTTCCAGAAAAGGCCACAACTTTGGGACTTTTTTTTTTTGGCAAGCTTTTTTTGAACAACTCCTTCCATCGGTCCCCAATGATGCTCCAGACGAATGCTCTGTTTCGTCTTAATCAAAATTAGAATTCATATGCTGTTCTGCAAGGTTGACATTGTACTCACAAAGACTGAAGTGAATGTATAAAACATTAACTGCTTTTAGAGCTTACATCTTGGTGACCAATTACAATCTCTAAGGGTAAACTGGTTAAATCTTCAAAACCTGCAGGCAGCATTTAATTTCCAGTCAAACTGCTCGACTGTTCCACAGACAATATTTAAAACACATAGGCAAAAATTTAGTTAACATTTATTTGCCAAAACTAACTGCACTGCTAATTAGCCTATTCTACCTATACCCTACCTTCTGACCTTACATCTTCTCTCTAGTTAGGAATAGACCATTTATCCAAGTAATTATTTATATTAAGGAATATATAAGCAATACAGAAACGGACAGAAGATCCCAGAACCATCAGTATGATTTTTAAAGCATAACCACAGGGCAGGGTGGGGGTGTGAGGGCTTGTAAAAAAAAATAATCCACTGTAATTAATATTAATACTTACAGTAATCCCAGCTCTCTTCAAATCAAGTATACAATCAAATGCAAGCTTAATGTAGTTTACTTTCAGAGAAAAACGAGCTAATTCCAGAATCAAAGGAATCCTTCAAACATAGAAAAACATCACTTTAGAGAATCTAATATTGCTCTTTTATGGAATTAGAAAAACATTATATGAAAGTAACTTGTGCAATACATCTGAAAACTTTGAGGTCATCCAGGTATTGGAGGACATGATTATATTAGTGATGCTCACAGTTAACAACGAAAAAGATTAAAGTTGGCTAGATAAAAAAAAACCACAAAAGTTCATATGTTTATAGAAAATAATTAGTATACTTCTACTGTAGTCCTGCATAAACTGCTCCTGAAGAACATAAAAAATAAAGAATGAAATGTGTGCAGCACAAAGATGGTGAAACAGCAATGAAGGATGGCAGGTAATTCTGTAAATACAATGCAGTCAAGTGGCACACAACTTAAAACAGTAAAATTCATCAATTATTTAGGAACCAAGAACACAGAAGACACACCGTGAGAGACTGCATTCTAAATGTTTGGATTTCCGTAAATAACTGAATGAGCAGAGCACACTGTCTGGGACAGGGGAAGTAACGAGACACCTGCACATCGTCAAAGGAGCTTGGCCTTAACAAGTGAAAATGCAGCTTTGCTTCCATAGGTAACAGCTGTGACAGAACTGCCAGAATAGGGAGTTCAGTTCAGTCTGCATTTCGAAATCACGCTGAAGAACTGAGCAGGGCCCCAGCAAAGCTAAAAATTAACTGAAGTGTGAAAAGCACTTGTCAATTCTAAGACCTTTTAAAAATGTCATTGTATCAACAATGGGTCATGGAAAGATTTAATCACGTTATACAAGCAGCTGTATGGGAGAAGATACTTAATCTTGGGTTCTTTAATAAAGTCTAATAGAACTTTAGTCTTTTTTTAAGATGATCTAAGTGTTGATGCAGCACAAACTATTATAACTAAGCACGATTTCACCCTCTTCAATGTCAATAGGAATTTTGACAGACTTCAGTGGAAGCAGGATCAGCTTCAGCATGAACTTACACAGGGCTATGACAAGTAAAACTCACTTCACACTGAGAACAGATGCTGGAGGTACATCGTCTTGTTTCAAAAGTACATATATAGAATCCAGATTTGCAATGGCATCACGTGGAAATTCATTTGTGTCCCACTGCCTGCAACATATTAGGAATTGATCATCATTTTTCACAAGTAATATTATTGCATTAAAAATCTGAAATAACTCAATAAATCTCCTAACTCTAGAATAGATGGCTCTTAGTCCAATGTATCAGTAGGATATCTGGATTTTGAAATATCAAAGAAAAAAAAAGTCAACAAAACCTACTTCAGTATACCAAATAAGTTACTCAGAGACAGCCAGATACAAAGCACAAAGAACATGCCAGCAAAAGAATAAATATTTCAGATGGTAAATTTTATTCCAGAAGCAAAGAAAAATGGTGTGCAAAACTTCTTTCTTATAACATCAACATAAATTAATTGACTGTTACTAAGAAAAGAATTAATACTTTTAAAATGGGGAAGAGTTGAGACACTGGAAAAAAATTAAATGAGATTTTGTTATGAAGTTTAATTTTCAAAATTGTTTTATGCCTTGAAAATTGAAAAAGTTTAAAAAGTATTATGCTTCCCATCCTTGAGATTCATGTATTATATTTTAAGTGTGATTTCCTCACTTCATCTTTACCCTCTTATACATGACTTGTGTACTCACCCGCAATCTGTTGGATATAAAAATGTCTTTCAATCTCTTAAATACTTTCACCTGAGAATATCTGTACAACACACTATTTCCTACATTCCAAAGAACTATCTCACTCTTTAGCTGAGGCTGTTCTCTAGACAAGCCTGATAGTTACTACCCAAACTGTCATTATAGTTTTCCTTTTGAGAAGCTGATCTTTGCAGTAGATTTTTCTATTGGCATATCAGGTACCAGAACCTGACCCTACCTCTGTAATATCAACCATCAAAGTACAAGTAGAGGGATATATTTTAATACTTACAATTTTAACATCTGCATTTTATAAACAATTGAAAAATGGATGGAATTTTGTATTTCCTTCCCTACTTGAGAAGTATCCATTAGTTTGTGATATACCTATAAAATAACAATTTAATTATTAATTGACTAAATAAGCAAACAAAAGACAGACACTCAACAGGGCTAAAATAAAGCAGGTATATTGTCTGTAGGCTTTTTCATGGACTTTCAGGGCAATCTATGTTGTTCAGCATAGACACCACAAAGATCACCTAGTAGAGCCATACTAATCTTCACATAGTGAGGATCAGAAGTATTAGCAGAAATCTAAATGTGGAACTAACATCTAAGTTAGAATTCTAATTAATGCATTTTTAATAACACCTTTTGATAGCTCTCATTCTGAAATAACCTCATCCAGCTACAAGAAATGAGGTCTATTGACATTTATTTGTAACTATACATTATATCTAACAAAAAATATTTCATCCAGCTACAAGAAATGAGTTCTATTGACATTTATCTGTAACTATACATTATATCTAACAAAAAATATTATGAAATTACAACGAACTGTAGTTACTTGGATTTGAAATTACAACGAACTGTAGTTACTTGGATTTAACTGTGGGGTAACACATTAAATGTGTGCACATCATTTCCTCTGACTCTCTCACGCTCTCTGCCCCATGTGCACACCATTTCCTCTGACTCTCTCACGCTCTCTGCCCACAGCGATCAACACTGATTACTTAAGCTGTACTGAAACTATAAGTTTTGCAGGAGTTAAGCATGCTGTTACTAAAGCACTCAACAGTGGGGATCATGCTTCTGTAGCCCTGCTGAGACACATAGCCCAAGTACAATTTTATAACTACTTTATTCTTCCGTTTAAGGCCACTGTCAAATAGCTCTGCTCAACACTGCCTCTAAAAAATACAAAAAGTCAATTTGGTCTTGCCTAAATGTTACTGCTTCATTAAGATTGCATCTCTGGAAGGTTGTGTATCAGTTCTCTTAAACAAAATGTTAGAGAACTTTATAATATAAACATACACTCTTCAAATGCAGTGATTGGGAGCAAACAGAAAAAGACAACAGGCAGTGTAGCAGAATGAAAGGAGATATGACTCCATGCAACTTCCAAGTTTTGCCTGTTTCTGCTTTTGCCACATTCATCTTCACCCTTTTATTTCCCAAATTAAGGGCACACAAGAAATGTGAACTATTGTCACATGCTCCAATTCCCAGAACTATTTATAGGGTTCAAGTTGGGTTATTTAAGTATTTATCAGCTGGAGAAAAGTCAACAGATGCTAAATATGTCATCAATGGCACAAGGCAGGTTAAGTTGCACCCACTGCATCTTCTGCATTAATAGCAATTATTATCAAACAGAATTTTTAGGCTTAGCAACCGTTATCTCAATTATATTATGTTGTATTAAAATAACATTGAGCAGTAGGGAGCTCTTTAGCTTATAGTATCAAAAATATACAAATTGTAAAAATATATCTACTGTATCATTTGGTAGCTCACAAAATTTAAATGAAGGAAACAATATATTTAACAATCATAACTACCATCTTATGAAATGCAAAGAAAGCTCCTGTCTTACTGAGAGTTTAAAATATTTCACAGCATTACCATTAGAGAAAATATTTGAGAGTATTTATCTGGAACATTTTCCTTAATAAAGATTGCTGCAGTAGATGAAAACTCTTTTGCTTCTTTCAGTTTTGAAGCATCGAGGAAGCACTCGAGTAAATTTCTGCAGATCAAACAAATATTTGTATTAAATATTTATTAATGCTTTCTGAAATAATTCTTATTTATATTTTTTCAAGAGACTCTTTATATTCGAGGTACCACTCCTTAATGCAGTACAAGTGATCAGTGCTATAAAGCACTGACTCAACACGAAAGAGATCTTCTCACTTCTACGTCTTTGTTTCTTCCCAAGACACATAGCTGTTTACACACATTTATTGCAGATCACAAAAACAATCTCGGAAAATGAGATTTTTGCGAAAACTTTTCTCAACAAGACACCTGGAATTAAAATGATTAATTATTTAAAGTCGTACGAGTAAAACATTTCTGCGAGATATATTCTAAGATTCTTCCTTAACTACGGGAAAGGCTAGCGTTTCAAAGCCACCCAGCAAAAGAAAACTATTCATCTTGGGAACTGCAACGTATCTACTGGATTTTCAAGACTTCATCTGATTTAACTGAAAAAGAGCCTGTGATTCCATGAAATAAATTAACAACAACAATAATTATTATTCAAAAAATAAAAAAAAAATGTAAGAAAAAATAAATGCCACCATTAGTTTCATAACACACATACATCAATACCTCAGCAAGAGTACGTTTGGTATAAAAACACTGCATGCATGGTATTCTAGATAACCTTTAGCACACCCTTTGGAATGTTTTGTTAATTTTTTATTTCCCTTCAGTTTCAGCTTATAAAGAAAATGCTGCACAGCAATAAACCATAAGTCATAGACCAAAGAAACAGGAAAGTTCTCAAAGAGAAAGCAAAAAACTGTGGCAGAACTGTAACAGGAGCTGGAAACCGTCTGTAGAATAGCAGACCAAAACATCTCTGAGAAAAGGCTGTCTGACCTTGAAAAATTATACAGATGCTCTTCATTTTGCACGTAAAACTGTTTCTCTCAGTAGAGATATCTCAAGGTTTAAGCTCCAGTTTTACTCAGAAAATGTAAGAATGGTAATACATTGATATTGATGCACCATTTATTACCAAAATGTTAGCAAATAACTGGAATAGGGCAAATGTGTATAATAGTACGGGTACTGCACTGGGTTGATTGTGGGGGTTTTTGGCTTTCATTTTAATCTTACTTAGAAAAAAAACATTCACTTCATTTTTAAAAGTAAAATTACCGATGACAAATTAATTTATTAGCAGAATCCGGTATTATAAAACTATCTATCTTCTAACTTTCTGTATTCCTTATAATCTTCAGATTAGAAGATGAGAGCTGAGACTTGATGCCACCTTTGCCTCACGCAGTCTTCACCAGAAAGGTCTTCCAGGTCTTGTGCCTGGTGGAAGCATCCAAAAAATTCAGTACAGCAGCTCTGCCGAAAAGGACAGGCAGGTCCTGGTGGACAGCCAGCTGAACACCAGCCAGCAGCACGCTCTGGAACCAAAGGCGGCCGACAGCATCCACCCCAGTCTGTGCCAACTGGCAGAGGCGTGTGCCAACAGGGAGGCGGGTCACTGAGAAGACGGGCTCGGGCTCTGTACTAAGGTGCAAGGCAGGAAGACAAGAACTGAAACGAGAGAGGTTCGGAGTGTTGGGCTTCTACAGCGTGAGCCGGCAAAGGAAGGTCAAAGAAGGTGTACCCCCCCGGCACAGATGAGCAAGACTGGCAAACTGGTAACAACGGACGCAAGAAGGCTGAGGTACTCAACAACTTTTTTGCCTCAGTCTTCACTGACAATCTCTCTTCCCACACTTCTCAGGTGGATGGACTGCACGGCAGGAACTGGCAGAGCAAAGCCCCTCCCTCTATAAGAGAAGATCAGGTTTGTGACCACCTGAGCAACCCGACCATAAACAAGTCTACAGGACCTGACTGGATGCATTCCAGAGTCCTGAGGGAACTGGCTGATGTAGTTGCCGAGCCACCCTCCATGATACTTGAAAAGTCATGGCAGTCAGGTGAAGTCCCTGGTGACTGGAAAAAGGGAAGCATTGCACCCATCTTTTAAAATGGTAGAAAGGAGGAACCTGGGAATTACCAACCTGTCAGTCTCACCTCTGCCTGGTAAGATCACGGAACAGATCCTCCTAGGCACATGGAGGACAGCATGGTGATTAGAGACAGTCAGCATGGCTTCACTAAGGGTAAGTGCTGCCTGACCAAACTAGTGGCCTTCTGTGATGGGGCGACTACATCAGCGGACAAGTGAAGAGCTACTGATGTCATCTATCTGGACTCTGTAAGGCCTTTGACACAGTGCCCCCCAACATCCTTCTCTCTAAATTGGAGAGTTTTCTCTCCTCTCTACTTTACTGGACAAGGAGAGACTGTGTGAGTTTTAGTTGCTGGATCAGCCTAAAACCACTACAAGAGGGTAGCGGTCAATGGCTCAATGTCCGCATGGAGATCGATGACAAGTGGTGCCCCTCAGGCTCCATAATGGGACCAGTGCTGTTTAATATCTTCATCAGTCACACAGACAGTGGGATTCAGCACACCCTCATGAGGTTCAACAAGGCCAAGTGTGAGGTCCTGCACGTGGATCAGGGCAATCCCCAGTATCAATCCAGGTTGGGGAAAGAATGGATTAAGAGCAGCCCTGAGGAGGACGTGGGAGTGCTGGCTGATGAAAAGCTGGACACGAGCCGGGAATGTGCGCCTGCAGCCCAGAAAGCCAATCACTACTGATGACAACTAATCTCTGTATTCTTAATTGCTGTATGTGCAATGCAGATACTTATTTTGCTCACTGATTTTTTATAAACTGTCATTTCAACATACAGTATGGGGTTAACAAGATTAAAAAATATTAAGAAAGATAACCTGGGTCAAGATATATAAAATCTTCATAATGAAGGAGGACATTAGAAGGTATCCTGAATACGTTCTCACAGCCTTACCAGGCTGTTTCTTTCTCTTCAGGGATCAGAGGACAGAAGAGATCTTTGTTTATCTGTTTAAAGATAATGTTTCTTTACCTGAGGAAAATAGTTCTTAAAAAAAACAGAAGTTTGTCTTTCTCCTCACTTAAAAGGACTGCACATAAGCAAGAATTCAAACACTACATCCAAAATGACTGTGGCCCTAGGGCCTAACTGTCTCTGCCACTAAAATGTTAACCTTGAAGTAAATACTAAAATGAAGCACTTTTTCTGTTAAGTTCATATATCTTTAAAAACTTATGAATTAAGCTTTCCACAATAAATGTATCTACAATGTTACCAATGAAATATACATTATCAACACTACCTCAGGTGGCAGTCACACGTACAAGAGGACTACAGAATGCCCATATGAAAAAATACAATTAAACTTACATCATGAGTTCTGCTCTCCATTCCTTGTCTTGGTCTTCAGTTTCGTTTAACACTTTAACAATTTGAGAAAGACTAGGAATAAGACAATAGCGGAATCCAGGCTTAAGATATGGCTTCACAAGTTGCCAATAAAGAACTGAGGCATTATATATCAAAAAATAATATCTGAAAAACAAGAATCAAGAATTTAGTATTTCCTAGACTTAGATAAACATAAAATTACAGATGGATTATTTTAAGTCACTTCTAAGAAGCAAAAAATGGAACTTTTCCTGTGTTTAGATAAGAACTAATCCTGACTAAGAACTGAGAACATAAGTACAGCACAAGAATAACACGATAACTCTTGCAACTACACTTTACCCCATAATTAACCACTGAAAATAAGCTAGCATGGGGCTTTCCTTCTACAGAGCATAAATATAAAAGGGGAAAAAACACTATCAGCCTTAAACACGCTGATTTGTCCCATCTATTTAAGACTGTTCAGTATTCCTATATTGTTGCAGCACACACAGCAGTTACACAAGTGCAGTGACAAAATGGAAGGAAAATCCACAAAAGAAAAAAAAAACCCAAATAACACAACTCCAGACTACCTAGTGAAAATTTGAGACAAACAACTATGAAAACCTAACTCAGTAACACTTCCTGAGGTTTAAAGCGTTAATCCTATCAGTAGGGTCTACCTTTGATCATGGGCGGCAAAATCTATTGCCTTCATAAAAAACAGCACAAACTTTTCAAACTCTTCCTAGAACAGAACAACAAAAAAAAAAGTTAATGCAATTTGAATCTCATTTTTATAAATCACTATTTCAATATGTTCACGTCTCGCAACTTTTATTTTCAGACCAATCCCAAATAAAACATGTCGCCATAATAAGTTGCTGCCATAGAAACAGAATAACTAAAAACCAGTAGCATTGCCTATTCCTATATTTTCCTGATTTCCAATTTTAAGACTATATTTTCAGTTTCTTTCATTTCTGCCAAACCTTAATTATCAGGACCGAAGTTTTCCAAAATGGCAAAGCTGCGTCCTTTTTAAGCTTTCAGCAAAGAAAGCTCACAAACGTCCAAGAGCAAAGCCAGGAAAAAGAATAATATTGGTTTGTCTCATTAAAAAATGTGAGGTACTATTTTCTTCAGAAAAGCTCAAACAAGAATTTGCCAACTGAACGGTGTGTCAGGCGTGCTCTTTTTATCATTAAAGCAGCTGGGAAGCAGCTTTTCAGAGGAGGACATGGGAGTCCTGATGGTCACCAACTTGAACGCAAATCAGCAGCGTGCCCTGGCTGCAAAGGCGGCCAACAGCATCCTAGGCTGCCTTAGGAGAAGTGCTGCCAGCAGATCCAGGGAGGTGATCCTTCCTCTCTACTGGTTAGACCACACCTGGAGTGCTGTTCTGGGCTCCCCAGTGTGAGAGAGACACGGACACTGTGGAGAGAGTCCAACGAAGGGCCGCAAAGATGACGAAGGGACCGGAGCATCTCTCATATGAGGAAAGGCTGAGAGAGCTGGGACTGTTTAGCGTGGAGAAGGCTCAGGGCAGATCTCATCAGTAGGTACAAACACCTGAAGGGAGGGTGTAAAGAAGATGGATGGGACCATGAAAAGGGATTTTTGAAAGCCTAAGAGAAAGATGCAGTGGAAATGGCAAAGCAGAGGTGGAACTGGATGGGCAGGAAGGTCATGACACCAGAGGGCTCTCTGTAGCGAGATAAAACAGAATAACTAAAAACGCCAAGAGAATTGGAACTGATTTACTGGGCTCTGAGACTGGCGTAAGAAGGCTACCGAGTAATGAGTGGGAACTGCCTAGATAAAAAGAAAACCAGGATTAAGAGACTGAGACGTATTAGACACTGAAGTAGAGAAGCTGCACGTGTCCCTTAAGAACATAAGTATCTTAATCAACTAACAAGGATTCCTCAGAATGGAAACCAAAATAGGGACAAATTTATTTTTATTAAGTGAATGATCATTACTAGTCATACAGCATGAGATGTTGTGCCACTCCTATTTTCATAAATGATCTAAGAACACAGCAGTGAAAAAACTTCACAACTAATGCAAAGTGTATCTCAAAAGCACATTACAACGCGCAGCACCAGGGAACCAAGCTGGGATTGCACACACTGCGATGGTTCTCGACTTCTGAGAAGTTAGCAAGAGTCAAGAAGAAAACAGCAAAATGTGGCTGAGATTTAGAAAACATCACAGAATGGTTTGTTTAATTTAGAAACATAAAAGGCTAACTGCACATGAGAAAACACTGTTCAAATGCGTACAAAGTTTTAAAGGGACCACTGATCAGTTGTTCTGCACATGTGCTCAGAGAAGGCAGAGAAAGTACTGATAACATAATGGGGAAAAGATTCTAGCTTGAAAGTTAATTCAAATATACTATTCGAAGAAACTATGGGAACATCTGTCAGGGCAATTTGTGAACACAAATAATGCAAACATCTGTTAAGGTCATTTTAGGAAGCCAGGTATCATTGACAAATTGTCAAAGCTGACTGACCGCAGTATAAGGACAAGTGAAATATGAAGACAAAAAGCAGATCCCACTCCATTTTAAAATCAGCAAGAGGTAAAAACTGCTTATCAGGTACGGACACAATATCACCAAATAGTAACACACATAAGCTTTTAGAAGTAGAAGTATCCTGCTGAGTTGTTGCCAGAAAGTTTCATCTCCCATTTCAAGAGGCCACATCCAAAGCACTACATAGAAAGATTACTGATCAGTGGTGGAAGCGCACTGCCACAGAAGAGAAATGAATTGTACAACCTCTCTGAGGGCCCCTTTCGTCCCCCATTTCCCAGGATTCTGTGAAATGCTTAGTGCCACCCTGAATAAAACTGGTAATTGTTTTACCAGTTAGTTAAATTTGGACTGAAAGCATCACATTGATGTAAAATGTGAAAAGGTTTACTTTAGAACAATCGACCATCTGAAAAATTTTTTGTAAGCATTCTTTTCTTTTCCTCCCAGAAGTATTTGCAATATTACTCTAATTCAAACAGTAAGTTTTGTTTACTATTAAACTACCCGTTAATATATTCTCCTCTGATTTTTCCCAGAGTCCTGATTACCACTGTGTATCTTAAATGACTGAAAGCAATACATAAAAATCTAGGAAGAAATACTCTTAAAAACTGGCTTAATATAACACAACCTTCATAATTTCTCACCAAATTATCTGTAGAGAGTGGAGTGTGCAGCTGGCCTTGGCACAAATATGCTCTGCCAAGAAACTGGTTGACAGGAAATCTTCCTTTAAAATACATCTGTAGACAGTCTCTGCTTATTTCCAGACATCCCAGCTAAGACCAAAATAAGCATTTTAGTATTTAAAAAATGAAACAAATACTGAGTCAAAAATTTAGTTTTTAAAAATGCATGCCTACTTGAAGTGTAACATCTAACTGCATACCAGTATGCAAACAATATTCCATAAAGCTGCATATCAGATTTCGTACAAACCCATTAAGATTTATTAAAACTTAAAGCAATACCTTTGTCATTCCAATCGTATAGAAAAGTAACTCCTTTATTTAACAAAGCTTCTTAGTCACCCAGTTACAGAACTCCTTACAGTATACAAAAAATGTTTCCTTTTTTTATATCCATTAACAGAATTGTTACTCTAAAGGCAAAATTCTTAGTAGAATTTGTTTTTAAAAGGACAGATATTAGTCCGCAGGATTTTGTATGGATGTCAGCACTGCACCTCAATTTTCAGACAACATATAGAATTTGAGTGGCTTGCAGCTTGGGGAAAAAAAAAAAATTAGAAACTCTGTCTGCTTGATATCCAATCACTTGTACCCATTGAAAATTAAAAAATACTTCAAAATTAAGAACCTCTAGTACATTTTATAGAAGTCAGCTCAATTAGTAACAATTTTTCATAATTAGGATGTGACTTTTTCTTCTTTTGCCCAGTAGGGACTGCTCACAAACACATATTCTTCAATCATAACCAAATTGCTAATGTTACTTTTCCACGACAAGAAAAAATAGGCATGGCAAACTATTTTATATTACTATGGTATACCTTGCATATTTTGGTCTAATTACAAACTTCAGAAACCACAGTTTGCTGTCTTATTATAAAGAAGTGATAATCTAGAGGCTGAGTCTTAACTGAAAATGCATGTTTAAACAATTGCTCTCCAAAAACGGAAGAGTGTAATATTTTTCACAGGTACTTCTGGGAATATTTTTAAGTAGTAACTTCAACAACTGTAAATACAATATGTGATAGAAATATTTTTATTCGATACAGATAAACTGCCTAAATTACAAACCTGAAATGCTTGTTCAGCACATAAAACATATAAGTCAGTGCTGAAGCTATCTGATGAGGCAAGTGCAGATTTTCCTTGACTGGCTGATTTGATCAACTCATAAGCATTCTTCAAAGCCTGAACATCTGAAATAAAAAAAAAGGAATAAGGAATGTAACAGACAATTTATGCCTCAAGGTGGACTGACAGACATGACTGTACTATTTCAAATCGACTATACGGCATCCTGTTTCTGCTTTACAGAAATAAATTATGAACGTTTAAGGAAAATAACGTCACACGAATGTTCAAAGTCAGCCACAGCTGTAAGATGAAGCATTAACAACTCTTGTGCAATTTAAAACCACTAATGTTAGCAAAGACGACAGCCAACCACTTTGAAGGCCCGATTCACAGCTCTCCTGCTGCGGACGCAGAGATTCGAGGTTCGACCCTTAAAGCGTTTACACGAGGTAACCTCGACTGAAAGAAAATCAGATTAACGCCGTGGCAGCTTCTTTTCATAGCCGGGAAGCGCTTTTAAAGCATTCAGAGAGAGAATATGTTTTAGAGAGAGACACAAAGCAGATTAAGATCGAGCAGTTTTCATGTTTAAAGTGCGACTTTTATTTCACTTATTTTTAAAGACGGACAAAATTTCGCAGCCGTCTGACACGCTCTTACCGCGGCGGGTCTCTGCGGCCCGGAGCCG